TGTTCTGTTTTTGCTCTTTCTGGTTTTGGCATTATTGCCATATTTTTGTCATAAAAGTAATTTGGTAGGACTCCTTTTTTGCCTATTTTGAAAAATACAGTATTGGGATTAATTTTTCCTTAAATGTTTGTAAATATGTCTTGTCCTGAGAACTTTTTCTCAGAGAAATCATTTATGGCTTCTTTAATTTCTTTTTCTAAGGTAGAGTTATTTAAGTATTCTATTTCTTCTGTTGATCTGGGCATTTTACATTTTTAGAAACATCCATTTCACTTAGATTGTCAGATTGATTAGTATAGAATTGGTCAAAGTAGCTCCTAATAATTGCTTAAATTTCTTCTTCATTGATGATGTATTTGCCCTTTTTCATTAATATATTGGCAATTTAGTTTTCTTTCTTTTTAAAATCACATTAAATGAGGGTATTTTTCACCTCTATTTTATTGTCCTTTTCTTAAAACCAGCTCCTAGTTTTATTAGTTCAATTTTTTTTGCTTCCAATTTTATTAATTTTTCCTTTGATTTTTCAGGATTTCCAATTTTTAGTTGTGAATTTTTAATTTTGTTCTTTTTCTAGTTTTTAATTGCATGCTCAATTTATTAATCTGTTATTTTTCTATTTTATTGATATAAGCATTTAGAGACATAAATGTTCTCCTAAGTACTATTTTAGCTGCATCTCACAAATTTTGATATGTTGTCTCATTGTTGTCATTCTCTCTCTCTCTCTCTCTCTCTCTCTCTGCTTTTTTGGTGAGGCAATCAGGGTCAACTGACTTGCCCAGGGTCACACAGGTAGTAAGTGTCAAATGTCTGAGGTCAGATTTGAACTCAGGTCCTCCTAACTCCAAGGCTGGAGTGATAATTTATCCACTGCACCACCTAGCTGCCCCTGTTGTCATTCTCTTTAATCAAATTACTTATTGTTTCTATAATTTGTTCTTTGACCCACTCATTCTTTAGGTTTCCAATTAATTTTTAATTTATGTTTAATTTTATTTTTAGTGTAATTTAATTTAATTTTATAGGTTTCTAATTAATTTTTAATCTATGTTTCAATGGCAATTTATTGAATGTAATTTTTATTGTGTTAGAATCTTGAGGGGCAGCTAGGTGGCAGAGTGGATAGAGCACTGGCCCTGGATTCAGGAGGACCTGAGTTCAAATCCAGCCTCAGACACATAACATTTACTAGCTGTGTGACCCTGGGCAAGTCACTTAACCCCATTGCCTAGACAAAAAAAAAAGAATCTGGAAAATATGCATTTAATATTTCTGTTTTTCTGATTTGGTTTTGCTTCTGACCATAGCTTTCCTTAATCCCCTCTCCTTTCTATCAGCCATCCCTTTCTTTTATCCTCTTTCCCTCCTACTTTCCTGTTGGGTAAGATTTCTATACACATCTGATTATAAATGCTATTTCCTTTTTTAACCATTTCTGATGAGAGTGAGGTTCAAGCTTTGCCCAACACTTCTATTTTCCTTTCCACTATTAAAGCTTTTCCTTTGTTCCTCTTTTATGTGAAATATGTTTCCCCTTTGTGCCTCTACCTTCCCTCATGTCCCAGTATTTCCATCTTTCTTACCCCTTCATTTTTTTAGATTTTCCCAACATAGTCAACTCATACTCATGCCTTCTGTCTATGTATACTTCTAACTCCCCTAATAATTATAAAGTTCTTAGGAGTTACAAGTATGATGTTCTCATGTGCACATGTAAACAATTTAACCTTAATGAGTCCCTTGTGATTTCTCTTTCATGTTTGCCTTTTTATGGTTCTCTTGAGTCTTCTTTTTAAATATTAAGTTTTTTATTCATCTATGGTGTTTTCATCAGGAATGCTTGAAAGCCCTCTATTTCATTAAACATCCATTCCCCTATGCACCCCCCCAAAGGGGTTATACTCAGCTTTGCTGGGCAGGTTATTCTTGGTTGTAACCCTAGCTTTTTGTTTGTAATCCTTTGCCTTTTGTTATATAATATTCCTCGCCCTCCAGTTCTTTAAAGTGGAAGCTGCTAAATCTTATGTGAATCTGACTGTGGCTCCATAATATTTGGATTTTTTTCTGGTTATTTACAATATTTCTCTTTGACCTGTGGGCTCTGGAATTTGGCTGTATTATTCTTGGGAGTTTTGGGGATCACTTTCAAGAGGTGATTGTAGATTCTTTCAATCTTTATTTTACCCTCTAGATCTAAAATACCAGGGCAATTTTCCTTTATAATTTCCTGAAATATAATGTCTAGCCTTTCTTTTAATCATGGTTTTCAGGTAGTCAAATAATTATTAAATTATCTCCAACTACTTTTTTTTTGTAGGTAGTATTTTATTTTTTTCCAATTACCTGTAAAGATAATTTTCAGCATTCATTTATTATAAGATTTTGGTTCCAATTTTTCTCCCACTCTCTCCAAGATGGCAAACAATCTGACATATGTTATAAATGTACAATCATTTTAAACATATTTCCACATTAGTCATGCTACAAAAGAAGAAACAGAACAAAGGGGAAAAGCCATGAAAAACAAAAAGAGGAAAAAAAGTAAAAATAGTATGCTTCAGTCTGCATTCAGACTCCATAGTTCTTCCTTTGGCTGCTGATAACATTTTCCATCATGAGTCTTTTTTAATTGTCTTGGATCATTGTATTGCTGAGAAGAGCTAAGTCTATCAAAGTCTGTCAGCATACAATGTTGCTGTTACTGTGTGCAACGTTCTTCTGGTTCTGCTCATTTCACTAATCATCAGTTCATATAAGTCTTTCCAGGTTTTTCTGAAATCTGCTTGCTCATCATTTATTATAGCACAATAGGATTCCATTACGTTCATATACCACAACTTGTTCAGTCATTTCCCAATTGATGAGCATTCCCTCAGTTTCCAATTTTTTGTCACCACAAAAAGAGCAGCTATAAATATTTTTGTGCATGTGAGTCTTTATTCCTTTTTCTATGATCTCTTTGAGATATAGATTTAGCAGTGGAATTGCTGGATCAAAGGGTATGAACAGTTTGATTGCCCTTTGGGTATAGTTCCAAATTGTTCTCCAGAATGGTTGAATCAGTTCACAACTCCACCAACAATGCATTAGTATCCCAATTTTCCCACATCTTCTCCAACATTTATCATTTTCCTTTTCCATCATCTTAGCCAATCTGTTAGTTGTAAGGTGCTCAGAATTGTTTTGATTTACATTTCTCTAATCAATAGTGATTTAGAGCATTTTTTTATATGACTATACATAGCTTTGAATTTTTCATCTGAAAACTGTCTGTTCATATCCTTTGGCCATTTGTCAATTGGGGGATGACTTGTATTCTTATAAATTGACTCCATTTTCTATATATTTTAGAAATGAGGGCTTTATCAGAAACACTGGCTGTAAAAATTGTTTCCCAGCCTTCTGATTTCCTTCTGATCTTTGTTGTATTAGTTTTGTTTGTGCAAATATATTTTAATTTAATGTAATCAGAATTATCAACCTAAGTATCTAGTTCTGAATTTGTGATTCCAGTTAGGTTGATCTCTTGCTTCCCACTACTAGGTGATATAAACTGTCCAAAGCACCAAAAGCCAATAGAAATTAGGTAACTTTTCTTACAAAACTCATTACCTCACTCTGTCCAGTGGAAGAGGTAAATGGCAGCTCTTTGACCATAAGGATTGGGGAAGCTGCATATTTTTATACTTTAAAAACTGAAATGAAATGGACATTCATCAGGAGCAGTATGTTCTTGCCCTCACTCTCACTGGGCTACCATCAATAACTGTGAAGGCTCATTTTCCCAAACTCATAAAAAATATAAACACATGTAATGAAGGCAGGCAGTTGAATACTGAATGCTGAGTGGTACAGAGAAGGTAAATCAAGGCAGAGCTGCAGAGCAAGGAACATTGAGGGGGTGAAGAATAAGGATACTATCATAGTAGTCACTCTGGATGAATTATACCTGCTTCACCAGTTTGCCCCGAATCTTGGCTCTGTTGGACTGTTTCCACGTGCCCTTTGTTCAATAAATTCACTGACTTCTTTCCTCTGCTTCCTTTGGTGACTGAAAACTATTTCAAAGCAATCTTTGAACATTGTTCATGATTCTATGGGCTCTCAGATGTTATAAAAGAAAGTCAGAGGTTTACCAGGTATATTATTAGAAATCATATTTTAACTTTAAGTACTCATTAGAGGCTCATGTATTATAGACAATTTTGGTGAAAAGACAAGCGATAGCTTTAAGACTTGTCTTGCTTTCTGAGAATCCATGGTCCTGAAGTTGAAGAGGAGTCACATGCACACTGTCTAAATTTTTATCATGATTTTTTTGGGACTTCAAGACCCAGAAAAAAATTTTGATTTTCACCATATTTTTCTGCAAAGCATATGTTTGGATAATGGAGGCAGCTTTTCAAAAGAGAACAGAATCAGTTCCCCTAGACAAGTGTATATTTGCTGTGTGAAAACAAATTCCACACTGATTCATGCAATGAAGAGTTAAGGATATAATTAGCTGATTCCTCAGCACTAGGTCTTGAGGTTTTTGCAGGCATAACAATTTTTCAGTCACTTTAGTAAGCCTTTTATTGTCAATGTATTAAGTGCTTTAAAAATGCATATATAAAATGAGAAAAATCATCTAGTGTGAGCTATTGGTATAGTTTTGCTTGATTTTTCTGGTTAAAAACCTTGTACATGTGATATAATTGCTATTTTAAAATACCATGAGATTTGTTTATGTATTGATCATGATATTTAGCTTTTACAAAGTGGCATTTATGATTCTTGTAATCAATTAAATATAGAGATTAAGCCACATACTTGATATTTAAAAGAAATGCAGTAATTGCTCATTTCTGAAATGAAAACTGAAGTAATACTACCAATTCTCTTGAGCTTTATTGAATTTTTAATAGTGAAATATTATGAGTTGTCAATAAAAAGACATTTATGAAAACTGCATTGTACAATGTATACATATCTTTTCTCTTCTATTTATGAGGCAGATGGACGGCTCATAATTACAGTCAATTCTGGGGAATGACTTTAGAAGAAGGCTACAAATTTCGCCTTGGCACCTTGCCTCCTTCTCCTACACTTCTGAGCATGAATGAAATAACAGTAGGTGTTATATCTGTTTGCTTTTGAAGGTCTGGTTGGGGTGGTTGTGTTTTTGTGTTTTAGTAATGCCAAAGAACCAAATTTATTTTTAAGCCCCATCCCAAGTTCTTTATGATACTACTCAGTTATTTAATTTAGAGCCTGAGAATTCAGTGACATCATCATGATCAAACCAATCAAATAAAGTCTTGTGTCTGAAGAGTAAGATTAATGGAGCAATACCCAATTAGAAAAATATCACCTCTGGTTTCTTAGAAATATATATGTTGTTAGGTTTTTCTATGATCATCAATTCATTTTTATAAAGTTATCCTAATTAAATTTTTAAGTAAACATATTTATTCTTGAAAATAATGATGACCAGAGTTATACTTTTCACATCTGTAGAAGTGAAATCAACTTTTGAGAATTAATTCACTTTGGGTGGAAAATAGAGCTTAAAATATGATCCCACGATGTGCGAGCAAAGCCTCTGTAAAATGAAGAGGCCATTACTGGAAAGCTCATCCTCACTGGGAGTGCAAGACCAGGAAGACCACGGTAAAGATGGTGTGATCACCAGGAGAAGTCTATCTGGTAGCTTCCTACTTTAAGGAATTAGTCTTACTAATTAGGCCCTAATTTCCCTGTTTATACGCTTTTTAAGGAATGCTTGTATTGTCAACATCCTCTAAATTTTAATGCCTTGGAAAAAATTTCCAATTGCTCCATCTTAGTTGCAGTTTTGGTAATAAATAGATTTCTGCTTTGAAATTAATAGAATACGTACTTCTGAGAGCAAGTGCTATTTCTATTTTGTCATTGTATTCTTAGAGCCTTGAAGAGTGCTTGGCACAGGGATGGTATTTACTAAATGTTTGTTGATTGGTTAATTGCTTGATAATGTTAATAGGTCATACCTACTGTATTTTATAGTGTATCAAATGCTTTTCTAACGGATCTCTTGTGAGTTAAGGGATACAAATATTATTGTGTCTACTTTACAGATGAGGACACTGAGAATCAGAGAGGCAAAATAACTTGTTGGAGGTAAAATATCAAGTATGTGACAGAGATGACATTTTGGCCCTGATGTTTCTGTTCCAAAGTCTAATGCTCTCTCTAAAAAGGAAACTAATAAGCAAATAACCAAAAGAACCAAAAACTCTACTAATTGGTACACAGTTTATCAAAATCTCTTAGAACAGCTGTTAACTGTACATATCCACATTGAGACCACTGTATAAGCCTCTTCTTTATCCAGATGTGCTATGCCAAGATTAGCAAAAGTTTGAACAGTAAAATCAAAATCTAGTTAAAGTTTGTTGACCAGTTCCAAAGAAACTGTCAGATCCCTTTTCCTCAGCTTCTCTGGAAATTTTAAAGGTTTTTTTTGTACTGTTTTCAGAAGTGCTAGGGTTTAATGATGGATGCATTGCATAACTAAGCTTCCACTCAGGAAGCTAGAATAAATCCTTAACTCATATTACCAGGGTGTTGCCTTTCAAACCATTATGTCTTGTAGCTGACTCAGTCTTCCAACTGAGATGTCAATTGTTTTCTTAAGACCATCAAGGTACAGACTTAGTCACTACTTAAAATCAAGACTGTTTAGAAACCATGAGGGTAAGGGAAAGTGGTCTCTGGCTCTGTGTCAACTCCTATGAATGTGTCTGGGACCAGTAAGAGATACTATCTGGGAGACAGAAACATAAATCCACAGTTCTGAATTTTCACTGCATATTGACTTGGCTCTCTAAAGACACAATGACCTAAGAACTTGATTCAATTCAAAGACAAGTTTTAAAGTTTATTAGAGAAAAGCAATGTAGTGTAGCAAACAACTGACCTCAGAAACAGAAAGACTTGGATTTAAGTCTTGCCTCTGACATATAATGGCTGTGTGTTCCTGGGTAAGTCACTTAATGTTTCAGTACTCTAGGCTTTAAGTAGCAGAGAAGGTGCTGACCTGCACTCATAGAAGTTCCTTCACCTGAGACTATATCAGAGAAATCACAAGTCCAGTCACTACTACTAACTGTATTTCAGGTAGAAATGGGCCTGTGTACTCTCTCTGTCCCCTCATATCTAAACTGTTTAGATGGCTCATTCATTTGTTTCATTTAGATTCCCCTTGATGGGATTGCTTTTATTGGAATTAGTATTTGTAATTTGGACAGCTGATCTCATCAATGTTTGGAAACTCTTGAAGGGGGGAGTCTCTTCTACCAATGTGGACTGCTGATTCATTTGTAATTTAGAATCTTAGAGAATTGTCTGGAAATACTGAAAAATTAATTTATTTGTTCCTGGTCACACAGGTAGTATTTATCAGAGGCAGGTCTTGAATACTGGTTTTCCTAGTTCCAAGGTCAGCTCTTTACACTACGTAATCTTACATTGTAATGCATTAGAATTATCTTCCACTCATTTGGAAGATGACTGGGTTTTAGAACGCCAAGTTGAACTTATGTTGTCTACCATATTGTAAGTTCCATTAGATTATAAGCTGCTTAAGCACAGAAAATATATAATTTTCCATTTTTATATCCTTAGCACTTAGCACAGTGTTTTGTGAACATTTTTGGGGGGTGGAGAAAGAACTGTAATTTTGTTGTTATAGGATACTACAGGGAAACTCCAATGAGGAAGTTCCCTCTATGCATTATGCGCAATTTATAGTCTAAGAGAATTGCTTGGTGTCACTGGGAGGCTACCACCTCTCCAGGGTCAAAGGTAGAACCCAGGTCTTTCTGTCTCTGAGGCTGGCTCTATAATCACTATGGCACACTATCCCTCACCCTGTGTGTGGTAGGTGCTTAATAAGTGTTTGTTGAATTGTTCATTCCTTTTTAATCTGTTTGAGAAGCATTTATTAGGTATCTATTATATGCAATCATGTGAATGATTTAGAGTAATTGTTTCTAGCTTTAAAAAAATTAAATAAGTTCCATTTATATGTTCTATTAAAGTATTAAATAGTTTTGCTGATTTTTGATGTACAAAATAAAAACTACTTCCTAGTTTAAAAATGCATTTTGTGCATTAAAAAGACAAACAAGAAAAAGGCTAACAAGAAAAAACAACAAAACCAAAAATAATTCTCTCTGGAATAGATAATAAGCAAGCTTTGTTGAATATTGCTGTGTTTACATATCTTCTCTTTGGTGTGAATAGGTATAGTTTTCAGGCTTACTGGGCTTTTCTCTCCAAAGTTGAAATTTTAGCAACCGGGAGTTTCTTCTCAGAAATACATAGCACCATTTAGAGTTTGGTCTGTCAGTAAATCTAGCAATTCATTTCCAAATTGCCTCTAACCATGATCCAGAGGAGGTAATATAGCCACTCTGTATACCCCTTAGGGTTTTGTCTGTAGGAAATTTACAACTGAGCTATTTAAATGTGAGACTTAATGACAGCTGCTTTATAAGAATTTATAATATCTAGTAGCATGCATTCATATAAGGTAGTTCCTTTGTAGTCCAGAGGGTAGAATAAGGAAAATTAAGCTGACCTGAGAGTGTTCTATCATCCATATTCAGATCAGTACAGGGAAGCTGCTTCTCATTCTGATGCATGGTAGTTAAGGTTGAGTGCCTTTTTTAAGAAGTTTCTAAGTGTTGGAATTTTCCTAATCTCTAGTAGTGTGGAAGTGAATCAGGAATGAGGACAATATTACTTCACTGAGCTAGTATCTGCATAAATAGTTGAAAAAGTGGGTAATTTCCTATCCTGAATGATTTCACACATGCAAAGACATTTGGGAATAAAGTGAAAAGAACCAAATGGTGTGTAGATAAAACATTTTGAAGGCTGAATTTTCATTTTGTGTCTCAGTATTTTTGGCATCAATAACAATAGTTTGTGTTTATATAATGCTTTAAAATTCATGAGGTATAGTATAAACCCCTCTCTTCCTTTTATAGTTGAGTCAAATCAATAAGCATTTATTAAGTGCTTACTAAGTACAGAAACTGTGCTAAATGTTGGGAGTATAAATACAAGCCTAAAGAAAAGCAATCTTTGACCTCAAGGAGTTTTCATTTTAATGGAGGAAGATTACACTTGAAAAGAAGTGGAAAGGATGGGGGAGGAAAGAAAGTGTGGGGTGTCTGGAGTAGAGTTGGAGAAGAATGTAGAGATAAGACTGGCCTGGTCCTTTCTCTAAAATGGGAATTCTGGGAATAACTAGTTAATTAGGAGGAAAGGGTTGTAGTTGAGTATACTTCAAATATAAGTCAGGGATGGAGTGATTTTTCAGAGTGAAGAGACTTCCATAGCATGGTAGACAAAGTCAAGAGAATCAGGAGTGAATCATGGAGAAATCAGAGAGGGGAAGTCACTTAACTAGGATTATACAGATAATAACTGTCAGAATTGAAATTTAAACCTATTTTTCTCCTAATTTTGAGGTCTACACTCCTTCTAGTACATTGCATTGTCTTGGCTTCCAGGTTCAAAGGCTGAACTTACATGTAAATCATTTAGGTACCTGTTTATGGGTAGAATGAAAGTAAAATCAAAATAGTCTCCTTCACCCTTATTTTGACTAAAATTACATTTGCTAAAGATAGTTGCTGTGATGGAGGAGATCCTGTGCATAATTCAGGTAGAACAGGGTTCCCTGTGAAGGATGAGCCCCTTCAGATGCTCCTGTTTGAGATGACATTGTACACATTAAATCAAGCCCAAAGATCTTATCCAGGAAGAAATGAAAAGGCACTTAAAGGACTTTGGACTAGGCAAGACGAAGTGAATGGAGAGAGTTTATTGCTCAGCTTTCTCTTGCAACTCTGCCATATTGGTTTTGTATCTTTCAATCTTCATGTGAACAGAGCTTGTTCAATAGTATGTATATCTGGAACATATTGTATCTGGAAAATTGTACAGATGGACGATGAGCTGGGCCAAGGTTGCAGAGGAGAAGAAGAATGGACTGGATTTGAACTCAGAAAGATGAGTATTCCTGACTCCACACCCAGCACTCTACCCATTGCACCACCTCACTGCTCCTTAAACTA